GCAGGGCGTGTACAGGATTTGACCAGCGTGGGGGTGGTCTAAACAGAACGCCAAACGTGGCGTAGCACGTGAAGGGGGGGGGTCTGGGGCCCTCCGCCCATACAATCATGTTGAAATTAGACCCCCTCTGAAAGAGCTTTCCTGCTACAGCAGGGGGGTGTTCCGGACCGCCCTGGACCCCCCCCGCCCTGTACACGCCCCTGCATTGTGTGGTTGTGCTAATGCACACTACCCTTTTGTCACTAGCCTATAATGGTCAAGAGCTACACAAAGCTATTTCATCGAAGCACCCTACCCATGTTATGCCTGCGCCAGACCCACACACGCCCCGCACAATCCGGTGCGGAGTATCCATGGTCAAATAATGACGATAAAATGAATAAATTTCATATTCACCCCTGATGCAGTGTTTCTCTGCATTGACACGACGAGTGTCAGCCAGCCTCGCTCAAATTCTACACCGCCAGCAACAGAAATTTCCAAAACAACCGCCTCGCTGACGAAAAATCAATGTTTCTTCATAGAACTGGCTTATATGAGCACCAAATTCACCATTGTTTCCAAAAAGAATTTTTCGGGGGGGGGAGCGAGGCATGCCCCGCCGAACCCCCTAGCTGCCGAGCAACCACAGGTTGCCTGCGCTTGCTAGGACTCGAATGCGAAACACAACCAAAAAAAAATTTACCACTTCACAGACTTTTGGCCAAATGTATATATTATCTATACAGGTCCCTGTCATCCTCAGCACTGACACACCTGGAGTAATGGAATTCGTCCTCTTTTTGTAAATGCCTTGTATAGCTCTGCCGCCATAAGCCTGTCACGCGCCCTGCTGTTCCCTCACGCTTTGCTGCATACTGTAATCAACCTATCCATGTTTGTCGGCCCCTCGCTTCCCACGTATGCCTCCTGTTTGCTGAATAGTAATTATGCCAGGTTTTCGATCAAGGTCGGCTAGATTAGCAATGTAAAATTAAGTGCTTGCACTTGTGTTGCATATTGAGGGGGTTGTCAGATGCTGAGATATAGTTGTAGAGAGACCGTTCATTAGTGCGTCTAGTAACCACTGACCAAAAACTAGTATTGGTACACACACACAAAATTGGTTCCAAAATAAATGTTGTAAAAAAATATGCTTGCTAATATTATATTATTATTATAATTGTGTATTTTTTTATTGTGTGATTTGTTCGTCAGCTAAGGAATTTGCGACAGCGTATCGGACATGGAAATGAAGCCTCATCAGATATTTTACATTGATTTATCATTAAAAATCCTATCAAAATTGATCATAAAAATCTCTTAACAGAATTTATTTTTTCTCGACGAATTCTTTTCAGTTGTTCATCGACGCGACCTTAAAGGCCGCTGTGAATCTGACATGGCTCCCCCTCAACTAAACAGACGTATCTGTATCATCGAATGGTATCGGCACTATTGCCCCAAGCGAAAGGAAGTACAAAGTGGAGATTCGGTGAGCAATGTCGTGCTTGATGACTGCTCACCTGAGCATACCGTATTCACTGTACTCTCATATACCACGTCAAGTACCGGGACTGTGTTTGGGTGAAGTGGAGATTCGAGTGTTTACCGCATTACAGTGCGTGGGTGGTAGTGATTCCACGATAATCGTTTATACTCGATCATCGTTGATCAGTGCTCGAACGCAAGCGACTTGTTATCAAAATTCCCATAATTGATTTCATCGAAATAAAATTCAAACTGAACAAGAAATGTCTGAGAGTAAATTGTTCGACACATAATTCAATGAACAACACCAGAACACTACATACAACTTATCCTTATTAAGCATACATGTATTAATACACACGAGTAATTAAACAGTGCAAAACATCTTAGTAAACAGTGCTAAAACAAGCAATACCATGCACAACACGTACACAGGCGGTACGAGAATTTTACGACGCCACGACGGCAGGGGGGGGGGGGTCCTAACCGTAACCCAAACTTGCGAGCACTCGATAGGGGAGTCCCTGGGGCCCTGCCCAGAAAATTTTGAATATTAGACCCCCTCAAAAATGCGTTTTCTGCGCGAGCAAGGGGTCCGGACCCCCTGGACTCCCCCCCGCCCGTACATGCCAAACTGTGACGATTCATAAACAAGCAAAGTTTGATGAACAAAGTTTAATTAACAAACGAAAAATGCGAATGAAGTCATGC